CTGAACCCAGGACAAAGTTTAAACCCATTACCCTTCGTCCTATCGCAACAGTCCAGGATGAAGACAGTCTTCACATGATGAAGACAGTCTTCACATGATGAAGACAGTCTTCACATGATGAAGACAGTCTTCACATGATGAAGACAGTCTTCACATGATGAAGACAGTCTTCACATGATGAAGACAGTCTTCACATGATGAAGACAGTCTTCACATGATGAAGACAGTCTTCACATGATGAAGACAGTCTTCACATGATGAAGACAGTCTTCACATGATGAAGACAGTCTTCACATGATGAAGACAGTCTTCACATGATGAAGACAGTCTTCACATGATGAAAGTCTTTATATTTTTCAGAAACAGCTCTAAAACTTCACAACCTCCAAGTCAAGTCTTTCAAACATATTTTAGACATGCTAGTAAACAAAAAAATAATTTAATTGACTCCTGCTGAACACATTAGCTGTGGTACTGTTTGAACCAAGACTTCACAATACTTCATAACCTGCAGTTGTATGCCAACACGCTTCTGGTAAAAAGAAGCCGAACTGAGACAAAGCAAAAATGGTTATGTTTGCATATGATGGGCCAGCAATGCACACTTTGACCTTTTTAAATTCAGTCAGTTCAGTTTCAAACACGACTGGCAAAAGAGTGTTAACCCTGGTCAGAACTCAGTTTGCAGAGGCTCTTTGAAACACAGCTCAACATTCAATCCTTTACCACTGAGGATAAACCCTGTCATCATTATTCCATCTGTCAGCATTACATGATGACTGAGCATCATTACATAGAAATGCACACAAGAAAATTCACTTCATACTCTTTTCTCTGATTCCAGTCATTCTAACTGCAAGTTACAGAAACAGAGGATGTTTTTGCCTCAGTCTTCATACTAAGAGGAGCGAAATTTCAGGCAAGAAAGAAATTTAACCATGAAGAACAGGTGGGAGAGGATGAGTTTTAAACTCATAATAAAAATGACATAAACTCAAAACAGAGCCTTCAAGAAATAGAAAAGTATAAACTCACGTTAAGAATTTCATCTTTACAAAATACTAAGGCTTCAGGTTGCTTGCTTGAAGGAAAAGCTTTTTCAAAAGCTACTTTTGCAGCAGAAGCAGCAGGGGAGTAAGTGTCACATTGAGCAATCAACCAGTATCCCATGATACTTTTTAAGTAAGGAGCTAAGTGCTTCTTTACTTTAAGAATCAGTTGCTCAAAAGACTGCTGAGTTGCTTCTCGAACACGGCGATCATGATCCTGTTAAAAAAAAAAAAAAAGAAGTTTATTGTTTTAAGAATTATACCTTTAGTGCAGGGTACTTCAAAGCAGAAGTAATGATGAAGAAAAAAAGCTGTGTCTCAATTTAGCCATTTTTGCAACGAACTGGGCTACACACATTTGAAAATACACAATGACAAAAGTCTTGATAACCCTAGGTACGGGGATAGTCCCAACTTAGCAGCATCGTATTCCCAATGTGTTGTAAATTCAAAATTGTAGCCTTTTCTCAATATCCTAATGACAGTTTCTACCTTCACCTTAAACAAACATTTAACAAAAAGACAAGAGGCAAGAGAAATGGGAAGACTTGAAGACACTTTCTTGACTAAAACAACTATTACCCTACACAAACTGTGCATCATTATCCAATTTTTGTGTGTGAATTTATATCATCATGCATTTCTATGCTCTTGGCTCCTGAAAGACTAGAAATTGCTCTTACAAATCAGCATTGTGATTAACTTTGTCCAATATTTGTTTAGGTTTGGGTTGGTTTGTTTTTTTTTTAAATATTAAGTCTAGTCAGGTATTAGTCCTAGATCAAAATATTTATAAGAGTACATTCTCTTTAGCCATTCTGGAAGGGACATAAAAGAACTTTTCATGAAATGTCTTGTCATCTTTTAAACATAAAGGTCTAACAAACATCTCTATCCAGTAAGTAGAGCCCAGATTTCAACAGTTCAAGATTCCACTCACTGCCAATACTGACATATCTTCACAATAAAGAACATTACTTTCCTTCAACTTCATGTTTGTTCCTAGAACAAGTCAGTAATTCCAACATAGTTAGATATATCAATACAGACCACCTCAGATATTTCCACAGGAAGTATCCACAGAGCTTTTTAATTTAGATACTTTTAATATTTACCAGTGAGATTTTACAATAAATTCTTGGCCAGTAAGGAAGAACACCTTTAACAACTTCTGCTTCCCTTTCCTTGCACATTGTTCCAAATTCTTGCATAGCCTAAAAAATATCAAAAGCATGATTTAAGAATTCAAATAGATGTCCTGCAATTTATCAGCTTCTACCATACAGTAGAAATCTCTTTTTCAAAAATCAATTAATTTCCTGCCATTAAGCATCTACAGATTAGATAATTAATTAGATGCTTCTACAGAATCTAATTACTTTTATGACTACTCCATCAGCACTGCATGGACCTTTGCATAAGTCCTCCAAGATACTTTCTGGATTGCAGTTTTAGCAAATTTGTCAATATGAAATTAGTGTTAGCTATCTCGACATAGATAGTATTAGATATCTCTGTGGGAGAGGACAAAGGATATACCTACTTTTAATTTTGTTGTGATATCTCTTTTAGAAAGTTTTCGCAACACCATTCGAAAATCAGCATCCACAAGGCTGTCTATCTCCTCTGCTCCTTGAACTGCAGGAACATATCCTAGATCATTCTGAGATGTTCCAAATCCAATAAACCCAGGCACTGTTCCACGTTCTTTGGCGAGGAGCTCTGCAGCTCGGCCGCTGCTAGAAGGCTGACAAAAAACAGGGACATAAGTCAGTTATCTACTTCAGTAATTTTATTTTAGTCTGCATTTGAAAGAATGCTCCTATTTAAATTGTAGAATTAAGCTTCTATTTAAAACAAAATTTCACAAAAAAAAAAAAAGAGCCACCACATATGCTTTACACATAAAAGTTTGACCTAGAAAATTATTCTTCACTTCAGAATCAGCATTCCCTTTTATAATAATCCATGAATACTTACGAAAAAAAAAAAGTTGGTTTTATACAGATACAAAAAAGCATAACAGACAAGCTCTTCTGTAAGTGAAGGATTTATTAAGAAACCATTTATTCTCCTTCACTACTTCTGGTTTTCTTAGTTCTTCTCATGTTATTGCATATGGACTGACACAGCCTCCAAGGAATGCTCTTCATATCACTGGGCAAAATAAGAATACGCATGAAACAAAAGATGATACCAGCAGCAAAGAGGCCAAGAAGGATTTAGAGGAACAGAGTGAAAGGATGCATATGTTACAGAGGGTGATACTATCCCATTAGTTCTACAGTGAGCATTTCAGAGTTCAGCATCTCTTCTAGTTTGCCCCAGTTAAGACAACACCTTGTTCACTGTATCAGTAGGTCATGTTTATTTCAACCACACTCTTCTCAAAAGATTGTTCCCAAACCAACTGATGCTTTAATGTTCTCCGTGATACCTTATAATCCAAATATCTTTTATTTCATAATGATCCTTACAGTTTGTGAGTTTGAGTTTGCTTGTTTGTTTTTAAAGTAATGACAATTTGATGAAGTCCACTGTACTTTTCTGATTTTTTTGAGGTACATAAGCCACATTTTACCTGACTATTGTATCTACAAGCCTGAGTACTGTATCTACATTCTGCATGTGAAATCTGAAATATAAGGACTGCTTCTTTGTGTTCCCTATTCTTCTCTAAACACATGCAGGTATTACATCACCTGAACACAACTCTTCACGCACAGTTCTCCCATACCAATCCAGCGCCGTATAGCCACCATCTCAGGCCCGGTGTCAGCACAAGAGATTCACGTAGACACAACAGGTGTGCTCCAAACCACTCCACAGAGGAACGCACTACTCACCAGTACCTCGCTGAACTCACACCAGCACTGACTTGCCGGTTACACCCCCTGCCCTTACCCCTCCCTGGAAAGCCCGCACGAAAGCCACAGAAGCGGCAAGCACACTGCCCTGAAGCGCGGACCCAGGCCAAGAGTCGCCTGCAAAGCCCGGCGGTGGCCCCGGCTACGACAGCCGAGCCCTAAGACTGGGCCGCCTCCGGCGGCCTACAACCCAGTCCCGAGGACACCGGAAGGTGAAGTACGGCCTCAACCCACTCGACAGTGCCCGAAGCCCCAGCGCCAAGGCCCGAGCACCGCCACCCTCCCCGTCCAGACCGCCCGCCAGCGGCTCCGGCAGCACGGGACCCGGGCCCCAAGGGCAGGGCGCGCTCACCCGCAGGTTGCCCTTGGTTCGTTGCTTGTTCTTCCCCCCCATAGCGATAGTGATAGCAACGGCAACGACACTGGGGAAGAGCCGGGAGAAAGCAGCAGCGCGGCCGGGGCGCGAGAGGCGGCACTTCCGGGGGGGCGAGGCCACGCCCCTGGCCGTCTCGTCAGTACAGCCGAGTCAGGCCCCTCGGTGGCGGAGGCGTTTCTGTACGTTTACAAAGACCTGGCTTCTGTCAAAGGACCGGAGGCAAATCGGCGCTTGCCGAAAGAAATCACCGAGGAGTATTGCTACGGAAGGTGTCCGAGTGCACACCAGAGATATGAATGTTGGGAATTTTAACAGATCATCAACATCAGAAGCAAGCAACCCCTGGGGGTGTTCAGCCTAGAGAAGGTTCTGGGGAGACCTTGTAGCAGCCTTCCGGTACCTAACGGGACATACAGGAAGGGCTTTTTACAAGCGCATGCAGTGACAGGACAAGGGAGAATAGCTTTAAACTAGCAGAAGGTAGATTTAGATTAGATGTTAGGAAACAATTCTTTACTATAAGGGTGGTGACTCACTGGAACAGGTTGCCCAGAAAAGTTGTGGCTGCCCTGTCCCTGGCAGTGTTTACGGCCAGGCTGGTCTAGGGAGGTTGGAACTAGACGAGCTTTAAGGTCCCTTCCAACCCAGCCCATTCTGTGATTTATGATGTGAATTAGATACACAATCCATAAACAAATCAAAATATCATTCTGATACAACTTTGTTGAAACTGTATTCAAGAGCACCTGCAGTGTAACCCCCTTTGTTCCTTGGCTGCAACTCCACAAGCTCAGACCAGTGAGGATTGCTTCCCTGCTCTGGAGTGTGCTTGCCATAAGGCAGCCCATCCCTGGGTAACGTTCTGCTTTAACATGAGTAGAGACTGGGTTTCTCAGCTACAGGTGCATTAGAAAGATACCACAGCACCTCTCTGCACACACAAGTCTACCTATGGAAAATTCTTATGCCTTAAAGTAGGCATCCTAGCTCATCCTGTTTGCCTAAGCAAGACTTTTGTGAACTTGCTCATTCCTTTTGTGTTTGTTTCCTTTGTTTTGACTAGCTTGGTTTTGTTTTGTTTTGGGTTTTGTTTGTTTGTTTTAATAAAATGTCAATATCACAGCTCAATATACTTCCAGATAGAAAACAGAATAAAAGCTTGTTACAAAAAAGCTTTCATGTAGTGTATGTAAACAGCAATAAATAATACAAACGTTTTGGTATCTCTCCTGAGATACCCATACTTGAATTTTGTCTCTTCTTACTCATATATGCATTCAACACAATTACATCTATTCATTCACCTATAATTCTGTAACGGCCTGATAGTTCATCAAACATATTTTCTTTCCCAATAATTAGGTATGTACCCTAAACATCCAGAAAGTTTAAAAAGCAGTTATTTTAATTTTCATTATTCAGCATCTCACTGGATATTTGTTTTCATTTAAAACTGGATTCATCGTATAAAATCACAAATGATTAATTCCCTCTCTGATAAACTCCTGCAGAACAGCTAAGGAATCTGTTACGAAGATTAACTTACAAACGTAGACGCTTGGACCAGTGGTGATTGTCAACCCCTTCAATGCCCTTCAACCCCAAAGTACATTTGAAAGATGTCAGCACATCCTTTTTCTTCTAAAAAATGATATAGCTGCCCCAAATCCATACGATTTCCCCTGGTACCATGTGCATCAAAACATTTTTCTTCCAAAGTGGAGAACTTTCTTTGTTTCTGAATCTCAGCATGTCCTCCACCTTCCAAAGAAACATCTTCTCTGTGCCGAATGAGAATTCTTTTCCATGTTAATCTTCTCACTCTGAAAGAAATTGGAGAAATATGAATCTGCCTATAAAATAAATACTGTTTTAGAAAATACTATGGAATAGCTATTATCACAGAAGTCAACAAACTCCTTGCACCTGTACCTTTGGCAGAGATAATGGTTCCCTGGCTGGTCACAGAAACACCACTCACATGCAAACACTTCCAAAAGCAGGAGCTTGTTTCTTTGTATTGCCTCAGGATTCAAGAACCTTAATGTTATTGCTCACAAAATAATTGATGAAGATGTGGTTTCAACTTCAGTGCTTATTTCTGCCTTGCCTGGGCTAAGAACTCTCATATTCTTGTACTCTCTTAGCTGTTGCAATCAAATAACAATGTTCATTTAGTCTGCACCACCCAGAAGTATAAATGATGGGAGCAGAATAAAACACAAATGTAGAGGAATATAACAACGTACTTATCTAATGCCACTAGGGTACTGAAGTCCACTGCTATACAAGTGAAATATAGAGGAAGATAAAACAGAAATGAATAGACATTGTGTGGTACTAGCAGCTTTGATTTCTGCAACCAGCACTACAGTTGATATTCACAGTTGGAAATACATTATGATAAGCACACGTACTTTGCAGACCTTCACAGGCTGGAAGGTGGTTGGACTTCCCACCTTCTGGCCACATATACAACATGAAAAATGTAATAGTCTAACTACTAATGACATTTAAGAACAAAGAAAAACTAACCTTGACCAGAACTCTTCACAACTACTTTGAAGACCTTCTACACAAACAACACCTGGTTTCCCCGGCATGCAAAACCCTGACAGAGAGAGCTCCTTGGCCCAGTCTATAATATTCTTTCTTTTTTGCTTATTGTAAATGTGATGACTATAGATCCACAGTCGAGTAAACATGATGACTTCTGACTGAGTGGCATTCGATGCTGTCACTGAGGAAGATGAAAGCTCCTTGTCAATGTAAGCAGCTGCATGGTCTTTAACCCATTCCCTTGCACTCAACATGCAGGGCTCACCACTGCAGTTTTGCATCAAATATGTTTTTAGATCCGAGTTCAGGTGAAGCTGCTGAGAGCGGCTCAATAAAGATGACCTAGAGAAAAATATAAAAGCAGTTGTAATACACTTACAATTTAGATGTTTTTAAATTTTTTTTTCAGTTTTACTTCAAGCTGCCAAGAAAACCCAGGCCGCATTTAGATGGTATACACTTGCTATTATTTAAGTCATTATTAGCTATGAAAAGGTGTTAATCAGTACTTAATGGGTGTACTAACTCTTTCAGTTCACATAGAATACGACCAATCTGTAAATTAAAATCAAGGAAAATGTACTTGAAAAGTAGGCATCCTGGCTAAACTGACTTCCTGCAATATGCAGGGCTACTTCTTTAAACAGGTATGTTGCAATAAAAATAATTAAAAAAAACAAACCAACCAACCAAAAAAAAAAAAAAACCACAAAACAAACCAGAAGCCTGCAAGTGACAGCATTTTGACAAGGGAAGAATAAGACCACCAAGTAACTTTTTACTCTTTTGGCATCCTTGCCAAAATGGACAAGTCTCTCTTTAACATCAACATATGAACGGTACCTGTGTGTAACCCCTCTGTACAGAAGATGGCGCTCCTCCACGGTTTTACTATTTTTCTTACTTGATGAGGACAACAGAGAAATCATAACCTTGTAGATTTGTTTCTCTTCAACACTGTTGTCCTTCTGGCTTAATTTGACAATAAACTATCAAAAAGGGCCTGTCTTTTCCTTTCATAACTCTATCTATGTAGTACACCATAGCTTCTTAATATTTTTGTTACCTGTACTTTTAATGCCATACCTCACAGTAATTTCTGGTAGAACAGCTGGATATTTAAACGGTAAAGCACAGGCCATAGAGAATTCCACCTAAAAAAAACAAATAAGCAAGTGCTCAGGTCAAGTAAACCCTAAAACCTCACAAAATCAAAAATAAGTGTTTACCATACCATAGAAGCATTAGAGACCTCTGGCTTTACATTCAGTATGAACTGAACTTTCGAAGATGGCATCTCTGCAGCCTCATTTTCAACATAGTGTTTTAGCTCTGCTACAGCCAGCTGGTCAGTCACAAGGAACTCTTCCTCATAAGGAAACATGCTAGAGAGTAAATCCAATTCTGAAATTTGTATCTCAGCTTCTTCTCGGTTAGTCATTTCTGTTGATTCCTAGGCAAAGAGGAAACGAGGGAAGAAAATAAGGGCTTGAATACGGGACAAAGTTCATGAACTACCCTTAAGAAATCATATTAATCTTTATAACCAAGCCTTTCGAAACTAGCTCGCACATGCGAGCAGTTCAGGAGCACGAACGCACTCTGTGACAGCCCACGAGGTTTCCAGAGCTGAGAGGGGGCAGGATGTGCTGTGCCAACAGATACATTTCCCTCTCACAAGGCCGCACACCTGGAGCGGAGCCGCCTCTGCTGCTGTGACAGCCGTAGAGAGCTAGACGTTACCGCCCGAGCCTCAGTCAGCATCCCCCACCACCGATAACTCACCCTGACGGGGCTGAGGGGCTAAAGGCATGATGCGCATGCGCAGACACGTCCGCATCCCGGTTCCCTCCACTGCTTTCCCATACCGCCGTATCCTCACGGCCCCACAATGCAACGCGCCGGAAACGCGTATGGCAGCTGGTGACCGTTGACAACCGGCTGCAAGATGAGGTGAAGCTGTTGGGCTACCCCGAGAAGGAGCCATGCACCACCAAGCCGTTCACCCCGCGGCGCCGTCAGGTAAAGCACGGAAGCCCTTCGGTACCGCTGTCACGCTCCTATCCCCTCGGCTGCCCGACTTTCCCCCGGCCCTGGACTCACTCCTCCAGCGTTCTGCAGCGTCCGCTCCGGGCCGAGACACTCGGCTCTCCTGTTGGCTGCGGTGCGTGTCAGCGCTGGCACGGCAGGCGGGCGCAGGCCAATCGGAAGCAGGCGGGGCGGTGCAGCGCGGTGGGGTGCGCGGCGGCGGGGCTGGGCAGGGGCGCACGTGGGTGGTGCGGCCCAGTGCGCGGTGAGTGCGGGCTGTGGGGGGGTTGGGGGTGGCTGCCCCCCCGGGGACCTGCCCGGCAGTGGGGGGACGGGACCAGCCGTGCCGAGTCTCGGGGCGCACCTGCTTCCCTCCGCGGGGGGTCCCGGCTGCCTCAGGGACAGGGAGTATTGGCTCCCAGCTGTTGTCCGGCGGCCCGGGACGGCCTGGTGCTTGGGGCGGGAGCTTTCCGCGCCCCGGTGTTTTCCTGGGCGTTGGCACACCGCTCTCTTACCAGAGCACCCCCCAAACACCCAAATGGTCGTTTTATTGCTTTGGCTGCTGGCTTTGCAGCACTTTTGCGTGGGCTGTTCCGTGAAAAAGGCTAGTGAGGAGTATGTTAGACAAGTTTATCCAGAGACAGTGTGGGTTCATGCTGCCCTGACCTCCCCGCAGGAGCAAAGTCGATTTGGAAGGGATTTTGACGGTTTAGAGTTGTTCGTGTAGGATCAAATGTTGTCGATTTTGGCAGAAAAACGTGCTGGGGGTGGGGGGTGGAGGGGGTCGGTGGTGTAGTTCATCGGGTGAACTGTCATTTGTTTTCCTGAACAAACTTTGAATGCTAATTTGCAAAAACTGATAATTCTGCTGTTGATGATGTGGCTGTCTGCCTGTCATTCAGCAACGGGGTAATTTGTCCTAAAAGCATGCTTCAAAAAGGTTTTTCGTTAAAAAGTTCTCTGTGCCCTGTCTGTCAACTTGACTGGTTTGTGAATGCTCCAGCAGAGAATTCACCCCTAACAGCTATCATGCCTAAACAGAACTTCTCTCCAGTTCTGTTGGGCTGGCTTTAGTTGTTGTTTGTGACAGCCCCACACAGGCTGGTGTGCTGGTGAGTCCAAGCTAAGATGGTTTTGAAAGGATGAGTGTTATACAAGTCAGATTTAGTGCTGTGCTAACATGTTTATGCTAAGGGTGGACAGCTGGCTTAGGCCAGCCTGCAAAGACTGTGTAAGGCTGCAGAAACGTGGTTTTGAACCAGCTTAGGTTGTGTGCTTTCATTGTATAGCATATGTTGGGTTTTAAGTTTACCTGATGTTTATGTATGTTCTTTTGTGAGTTGAGGCACAGACCTCATGGGGCTACAGACAATATATACAAAATATATTTGAAGGCAAGTACTTGACTTGGAACTCTGTAGTAGTAGATTACTCTTGTTTGGAAGGGTCTACAGGCATATAAATAACAGACCCCTTCTGAATTAGTTGGTTGATAGGTTGGGAAGGCGATGATAAATCTCCCCCAGTGAAAAAACTGAAAAGTTTCAGCTCCCACTGTATGTATACTTTCAAGTATGTTAGCATATTGGTGTGTGTGAGACTTCTTCAAAGATACAAGGTATTTGCAGTAAAGAAAACTGAAAGATTGTAATAACTTCAAGATTTAATTGGGACAAACCCAATTCTTTTTCCTGTTATTAGTTAAAGTACAAGTCCTAAAGGTTTATGGGATTTTTGATGCTTAAGTTTCCCATCTTTTATGTAATATTTTTGATTTAAGGTTTTAAATCATTTCACTTTTATAGTTCATGCTGTCATCTTGCTTATACAGCAGTTGCATTTGTTTCATGTTAAAGTATAATTAATTTATTTTCTTTTGAAAAGTCAAATTAAAACAAGTTAATTCACCTCAAGGAACATCTTGGCCATAGAAATAATGTATTGTTTAGCACTGAGCAAGTAAAACCAAAGCCTGTTTTCTAATTTATTATTTTTCTTTGCTAGGTCACTGTTCCATGTAAGAAAAATTACAGACTACAAATATGGGAAAGAAACGCATCAAAGGCAAACCTGCACAGTCTGATGAGTCTCCAGATACGCTGGGTGTGTTTCCTCTGAGAAGTTTGTGGTCCTAATGTTTGTTTTAACCTTAAAGAGGGCTTGAAAACTCATTAATATTAGAAGGCCTATACATTAGTCACTGGCTTTGAAGTCTCATTTACAAAGTATAGGTTTGTATAATTGAAACTGGACTGCCAGGAAACTGGGTTGCTACTTAGGTTAAGTATGCTAGAAAATAATAATAATAATAATCCTGTCTTGAAAATTAGGATTATTTTCTGGTTTTCAGAAAACTCTGACACACAATTCTTTAGTCATACACAGATTGTATAAAATTCCTCAGAATATAAAGGGTTTGCGGAGTCAGCTACCAAACTGGTTGTGAAAGGTTTAAGTAGTATTTTCCTAATGAAGATTTTGTTGCAGAAGGTTCTTGCTTCAGCAAAAAAGATAGTGATTAAAACGTTTCTGTGAAACCATTTGTCTTTACACTAGCACCTAGCTTAGTACTGTCCCTGGACATCTTAGCTCTCTAGTCATGGTGCTTCTTGGCTAAAACCTCCTTCTGCTCCTAATCCTAAATTCATGGTACCCTTCTAGCTCTACTGGAGCTCACCCCTGTTTTGAAATTTCATGATCTTGTTTACCCTGGTTGATCTAGCTCTTAATTTTGCTTGTGCTGTGTAGTATTCTGTTCTACCACCTTTTCTGACCAGGTCACAGATTGTGTCTTACCCATCCTTTTTGTTGGTCCTGATTGGGCAAATGAGTTGGGCCATGTTAATTAGAGGGCACTTAGAGTTTTAGCTAGGAGGCTTGGTGTGATGGCCTGCCTATTTTAAATTTAAATCTACTTTACTTTGGTCTCCTGGTTGTCTTGGTCTTGTGTTGCCGTCTATCTTTTTAGCTTCTTTTGTCTTTTCTTCCTGAAATCAAGGTCAATGTCTGCTGTGAGTGTTCCAGGAAAGAAATCCGTTATGTTGCATTTGCTGATGACATCTCACTTCTTTGGCTAAAAGTAGGCTGGTTTACCCTGACGAAGTCCTTTAAAGCCACAAATGTAAACTAAGACTGATCATTGTAAATAATTCCACTATAGTAGTAGTGGCAATAAACAAAAGTTTTGTTTAAAAAGACAGTTTTGAAGTTGTAGATGAAGCTTATGGGTTGTATGCTGGGGTTTTTTGGTTGGTTGGTTGTGGGGGGGGGTGTTTTGTTTTTGTGGGTTTTTTTTGGTTTTTTTTTGTATTTTTTTAGGCTTGAAGAGTGTATCTGAATGCCTGTATTTGGCTCTTACTGGCTTGCACTTGTCGTCTGGTAAAATCCTGTAATCTTGGACAGAAATAGAACTGTAGATACAAAACCTTTCACCAGTTTCAGCTCATACCAAGAGAAGTTTCCTGTCTTGAAGCTGTAATCTTGGATATGATCCCCAACAAAGATAGATTGAGGTTTTTACACCATCTGAGCAATAAAAGTACTTCTGTAGCAAAGGACTTAAGACAGTTTAATTATGTAAACAGCTATATAATTCTTAATAAGTTTCATAAAAATGTGATTTTATTTTTAACATACTAAGTTCATACAGCATTTTCTTTAATCACGGGGTGTTTTTTTTTTTATTTTTGAGGTAACTGCACTGTCAGATATTTGACCCTGTATTTGCAAATTTAGACACTTGTAACTGCAAGTAGTGAAGAATTGTAGGCTGATGTAGGCTAAATGTCTTAGAAACATGCACAGGAGAAAAAAGGGGAGGGATTAAAATGTGTTCCTCTTATAATTTTTATTTTTTCATTTTATTTGGAAGATCTTGAAACAGTTTGCATATGCGTTGTTTGTCAATTGCAGTTTCTCTGTTCATGACTCAAGCTTACAGCTTTTCTTCACGCAAGTTTAGTGTAACCAGCAATCTTAAAAATTAAACAAAGAAGAAATAAGGTAATTAAACTCCTGATAGTAGCTCTTAGCAACATATGCCTGGTCTCAGTGCAGCCGTTCTTAACAGAATGTGGTTAAATAGATGGAGTTCACACCATGCCCAGAAGGTGCAGCTCCGAGAAGGGTGTAGTATTGTAGTGTGGAGTGATAATGGTATAGGCAGGAGAACTCTACCATTTGCTTCTACCATAGTCTGCTGTATAATTTCACTGATGCAGCTCAGCTAGAAGTACAACCTCCATAACCTCCACTTTATAGGCCAGCCAGGTGCTGCCTTGGTGGCTGGAAATCATGGCAGTGGGTTGTGCCTGCATCCTGGGTGGTGTGGGAGTCACAAGGCCACAATAACAGAAGCCCACAGCCTGACACAGTAGGTAGGTTTTTATGCAGAAGTTTTGTCAACAACTCTGACTAAATGTGGGTTTGAGTGATAATTTTTTTGGTTTGGTTTTGTTTGTTTGTTTGGGGGGTTTTTGGTGGTTTGTTTTGTTTTTTGTAGCTTAGGATGCAGTAACAATATCCGTGTATGTAAATGGAGGTAATGAAGGGTTTCTTTCTGCTATATCCGCTAGATTGTCAGTGTTTCTTTGACTCTGGAAAGGCTGTCCTAGCTTGTGGATTGCTGTCTGTGTCTTCAACATTTCCATTTGTTATGATACCTACAACCTTCTTGTGCTTTTTATTTTGTAGAACCTGTGTGCAAGCATATTCGTAAAGGATTAGAACAAGGTCATCTGAAAAAGGCACTGCTGAATGTGGAATGGCATGTTTGTCAGGACTGCAAGGCAGATAATAAGACACAAGAGAAGTCTGAAGAGGAGACCAGTGAAAGCCCTTCAATATGGTTATGTCTAAAATGTGGCCATATGGTATCTCTTGTTTTGTTTTTAATTTCTCTTAATATCTTTCAGTGCCTCATAATATAGTGAAACAAGAGAGTTTCTATGTCAACTCTTATATTCTTTTTATAATTTTAAAAGTGGTGGTGCATAAATCATTTCATCTACTGTAGTGTGATTCAAGAATATCTGCTCTGAATAGGAAATGAAGTACTTAGAAGCTTGGCACAAAGGCATTTAGCAGGCTTAAGGCTAGAACACCATCTTGAGGACTTGTTTTCTTAGAAAGTCCAAATTATTTTCCTAAGAAAATAAAAATTTCTGTTAATGCTCCTGATTTGTGATTCTTACAGTGAGATCTTATGCTCACATTAGTTTAGTAAACTCAGAACTCTGCATGCTGAAGAGCTTTTTGTCTTGTTCCATTCTTCAAGCTGTTCAAATTGGAATTTGTAAATTAAATGTTCTGTCCCTGAGCAACTTTATAGTTATTCTACACCCATTTCTCTCTGCAGAAATAAGGGTCTTAAAATAGAGACCTGACCATCCTAAATAGTTTAACATGATTAAACAGTTTTCATTTTAATTCTTTGTTTATACTTTGACTTTGTTTCATTGATAGTCAACTGGATTTTGTGACGCTTCTGGTTATCAACATTATAGGGCTGTGGCAGAAATTCTCAAGAACAGCATGCTTTAAAGCATTATGAAACGCCAAGATCAGATCCCCATTGTTTGGTTCTCAGTTTGGACAACTGGAGTGTGTGGTGAGTTTGTCAGGCAACAGTTCTAAGCCATAGCTAGAGGGCATCAGAGGCTGGGATATAATTTGTTTTCTTTTATTTGTGAATTCTAGGATTTACCTCTAGACGGGTATAAAGCATTTCCACACACAAAGTTTTCAGCAGTCTTTGCTGAGGTTTGCTAAATAAATACTACTTTCTTGTAAAATTCATAACTAGAAAATTTTTGTAATTGAAGTTGAAATCGACCAACAAGTAAATGGTGCTTTTGCCTGGTCAGAATACTAACACGTGGCAACCAATGTTGATATGTAGCTCTAAATCTTAACTTTCAGCTTTGGGAGAAGCTCCTTTCGTGTGCGCTTCATGACAAACTTATTTTCTCAATAAGTGTGACTTCTTAATAGCATATGTAAAGTTTAAGAAGCACAGCTGTAGAATTACAAGATGCTACTGGATCATTTAATACAAATTGCATCTCCCTGGTAGCATATCTTTCTCTTAAAAGGAAGAGTGCACTACATAACGGGAAACCTTAATTTTCTAAACTGTACTATACACAAATACTGTGCCTGACATAGAATTTTCATTTTGCTTAGTACCCCTTTTTTTTAGAACTCATTATCTGTCACTGTTCATTTTTATAGAATCTTTTTTTATATAACAAGATCTTACTTGATTATGTTAAGCACTTTTATGTGTAATGATCAATATTTTCATTGAACTCTAGAATGAAAATAAATATTAATTGCATGTGTTACTAATGAATTAGTGAACTTTTTAGATTTAAATTAGTGTTAAAAATACTGTTTAGAAGTGCTTTATTTTCTCTTTTCTAAAACTTAGTTTTTAAATCTGAGTGCTTGCAGCTGAGAGGAAGTTGTTTAAGCAAGTTGTTTTGCTTACTTTGCTTCTCGAATTTCTTGGTTGTACAAATTTGCACAAGAAATTAGTCAGTGATTGGTATAAATTGTTATAAATCAAACCTATAGTCAAGAACCGTATTTCACAGTGGGCCTGGTATACAAAAGCAAAACCAGTTTTGGTCAGAATTTATTAATGCTATGAATGTGTGAATAGATCTTTTTATGGTGTGTATGCATTTGTGGTTGAAATTGGCATTTAAATAGTACCTGTAAACAGTTAAAACAAATGTTTTGAACTTGGAGAGAAAGAGGAGAGTTCTAGTAATTCATTAAGTTCTGCTATTTTGGGTTTACAACAAGTGCTGTTGTATGCATGTTCACTACTGGCATGACATAGCAGTTGGACCTACTTATGTTTTTTCCCTCTACCAGTCAAACAGCCATCAATGGGAAAAAAAAGCCAGCTTCTTCCAATGCCTTGATTCCTTCAAGGTTACCTCCAAATTTTTGACAGATAAAAGTTTATGATGTAAACATTACCTTGGAAAAATAACTATCATTTATTCAGGAGTAAGAATGCCTATTTTTATAATTAACCAGATGGACAATAAGTACATAATCAGGGGTACAAAAGTTGAGCAAATTTTCTTACTATGACATGAAGAAATGTGAAAAATTGCAGCTAATTTCAGGGATGCTGGAGATTTAGGGAAGCACTTTGCTGCTGACTTTTACTGCTTTTAATATCAGAAAATAGTCTGATTTATGGTAATCCTGAAATCTGCTAAATGCATTTGTGCCTGAGAACTGTAATTGGTGTGTTTCAAGATGTGAAGTATTTGCAATTTCTTCAATACTTTTTGCCACCTATTCAGAGAGCTGATTTGGCAGAACTGCAAAAATCTATACATGCAACTCTCCTTCAGCTGTATGTGTTCTGGCAGAATTTTACTCAAGCCGTTATCACTGCAGCTTCTTGCACAATTTTGTTTTAAACAGACTAGTGGCCTAACCGTGCGCTTCCTCGCTCATAAAGACACAAATATGTTTGTATCAGCAATGGAAGAGCAAATAAAAATGTGCAGGACTAATGGAGGGCAACAATTTATTTCTTATCCAGTTTAAATAAAATTAAATACTTGCTTGGCTAGAATACTCGTAGTATTTTTCCATGCCATAACAATGTAAGTAATTGTTAGGGCCTGATATTTTTGTTGATTTTGGCAAAATTTTCCCTGCATTTATTTTACTTGCAACAAGGTTTCTAAGCACAGCTTTTCAGAGTCTAATTTATACTTGTAAATCACAGCCTCCAGTCATTGAAATAATTTAGTAGAGATAACTTTTAAGCTTTCTTTTCTTGATTAGAAATAGATTGAACTCTTCTCCAAGACTTCTAAACCTTAAAATAAATCTTGTAATTTTGTGTAATGAACTGCATCAAACAAGCAAATAGTTTAGGAATTTTAAACAATAGAAAAAAAATAGGATTAATTCTCTTTCTTTTTTGGGGTGGCGGAGACAGGTGCTACATATGTGATAATGAAGTTCCATATAGTACTTCAAGCCGATTGGGCCAGACTGTGGATTATATTAGAAAACAAGTTTGCACTGGCTCATCACATACAGGTAAATAATTGTAGTATGCATGCAGTAAATCACAAAGTCCCTTAAATGTAGGAGACACTACTGTAAATCCAGAATGTACACTAAATTAGATTTAACTTTTGGAGCATTTTGTAGTTAAAGTAAAAAGCTGATTTCCTGTTCTTTTTTCATTTTTCCCTCCTGTGTCAGAGTTCTGATAGCATAAGTACTGTTTTAACCTGTGCCCCTAATTGGACCAGGATTTTGCTCAGTGTTTCCTAAACTTTTACAGACCAGAAATACAGGAATAGGAGGGGAAAAAAAATACAATTTTACTGTGACATTTTTCAATTTTTTTTTTTTTTTTTTTAATGCGTTGCTCAGTTGTTCTGTAAGGCATTGACTTTTGGTACTTAGAAGTGCTGTGTTTATTCATCAGAATTGCTTAGTCTGTCTTGAGATTCGAAGGATACTTTGAATGTTTAAAAGTATTTTTGTAGGTACTTGTGAATGTATCAGCTGGAATTACTGTCTCCAGCTGTTGTAGCACATGAAGGCATATACAAGAGGATTTGTCTGCTGGGTCTGTACATTTAGTTTAGGTAGCTGCAGCGCCTTCAGAACTCCCCTAAAACAGCATGTTCAGCCCACAGTCTGTAAAACGTGGTTGTTTAAAAGGAGATAAACCCAGCAAAACCACCCACTTTCCGCAGTGGCAAAACTGGTTTTGTACAAGGTATTTCCACTAGAAAACCTGGAAGAATTTGCATATCAAAATAAATGCTGTAACTCATAGCTATCAAAAATTACACATTTGGATGAAATTGTAGCCCTGTTGGGAAACAGATCACAACCATCCAGCAATGCCAAGTGACTGTCTCCAAATATTTGTTCAGGAAGCAGCTGAAGTTTTCCCTCACAGACCAGAATCTTTGAGTGGTTTTGGTCAGTCTTTTCCAGATGCATAGTTTTTGTGCATCTAATATCCTTGACCTTCTTATTGGTTCCCAAAATTCTCCTTTTCAGGTTTGATCTGGAAAACAAATGAATACCTGGTTGCAGTTGTTGCTTCAGGTGTTCTATCTGTTGTTGTCCATCCGTTTCTTGTCCATCTGCAAAGATTGTACTGTCTGTTGCCCTTTCTTTCTCTGAGCTGGTTTTACTTTATTTTAAAGTTAATCTTGGCTCACAGCTCTATTTGTCAGAAACTGAATCAATAGTAGACTGCCAAACTGTCAGAACCAGTGTGGGTGTTACTCTGAAAATTAACCAGAATTCCTTTATGGTTTTATTATGGTCATTGAAATTTTGAACTACGCACCAAAGTAATTTTAGGGAAGATATCTTAATGTCTTAAAGAATATAAACCTTCCAGTTTCATCTGCCTAGGTTCATGAAATGAACATGTGAATGCGTTCACAGTGGGAGGCCTGTGCATTTCATTTCAGTCAAAACGGGTATCTCAGATGCCATCATGTTGGATGTTGTATAAAGCCCTAACATATATGGTTTGCTACAGGAATTCAACTTCAGATAACACATGCAGAGTTTCAGAGATTGATGGTATGCATGGCTAGTGGGCCAAGTGGCGTGTTTAAATTGCATGCTGATCTGAAATGACATTTCAGGGGTTTGTTGATGTTTTTGTTTTGTTTATTTTTCAACTCCTGTTACCTAGACAGTTTAAGAACCTACCTCAGTAGCATTACACAATTGCAGAATTAATTATATGTTTACGTTTTAAACATCATAAATTGCTGATGCCTATTTTTCTTTTCTTAGCACATTCCCTGTTACTGGGTAATATGTGGTATGTTTTTTCTTTATTATTTCAGTAGTAAAGCAACAAGAGAACAAAGAATTTGAAAATAAAAAAGTAGAAAAGGACAGCAAAAATGAGCAAGAAAAAGAAGTCTCACTTAAAGAAGAGAATTCTAACTCAAGTACTAACTCGGAAGTGACTGTGAAGGGACTTAGTAACTTGGGGAATACATGTTTCTTTAATGCAGTGATGCAGGTATGGTAGTTACTGCTTAAAAAAGAAACCTTAAAAACAAACAAACCAACCAACCAACAACAAACAACCCAAGCCTTTGAATTAAAAAAAAAAAAAACAACAAAAGAAAAAACAAACAAAAAAAAAAGCCAAAGTCAGTCAGCCCACAACTCTGCTGCCACCAGTATTGTACAATGACACAATTAAAATGTTTGGGATTTTTGTTTTGTTTTGTTTTTAATATCTGCCAAGAATGAAGCGTTCTTTTTAAAAATAGTGTGTTGGCCCAGAGAAATGCAAAGAAATGGAGCTGCAGGTTCAGACTTGCTGAAGGGAAAATATAACAAACTGCCTTGTCTTTGAGGGACAGCATCTTTTGCTGATGTAGACTGAGCATGCCAAATTCTTGCTTTTATAAAAAAATAGTCTGGCACATCGCCCTTGCTGACCTCTTAGGATATAAGACATTAATACCCGAACACCATGTGTGTTTACTGAAACACAAATGTTTCTCTCGGCAACAGGAAATCAAACAAAAGTAAATGTTAACAGGATGAGCATATTGCATTGCTATCTTGTGTGTCTTGCTCATCTAAGCAGTGTCTGGATATAATAAGCTTGCTCTTTACATGCAAGTTGTAATACAAATGAATCTTGTGCTCTTTGGCTTTTGATACTGAAGCTTTACTCAAAATTTCTCCTCACAGGTTTTAGTAAACAGTTTATTTTTTAAACATGTTTTAAACCAAGCGAATATACACACTCCATTTTACCTTTTGATTTTTAGAAAACAGACACTAGGAAATAGAAGATCAGTCTGTAGAAGAATTTAGGGTTTCTGCAATCTAAAATAATACAGAGAGAAGACCTGACAGTCCCATTAGCTGTATGGAATGTACCTTTAACTGTTAGACACCATTAGAATTTCTGGAGTGGTGGTTTCCACTCTAGTTCTGTATTTGGGAAAAATAAATTGATACTAATCTGATTGCTGCCAATTCCATGACCAGTGGAACTCAACTGCTCTTCCTCTTGTTCCCAGTTACCAACCTTTTTCTTTCATGTTCTACAGAATTTATCACAAACTCCAGTCCTGAGGGAGCTGCTTAAAGAAGCTAAAATGTCTGGCACAACAGTTAAAATTGAGTCACCTGAGTTATCCATGGTATATATGCTTTGACTTCCATACTGTTTCTTTCCACCTTCCAAGCCTGTTAAAGAATCAAGAAGCACTCATCTCTGGATTTTAAATCTGTTTCAGCTAAATAATAAGATTAAGATGTAAAATCAGCGGGAACTTCCATAAAGCTGCTTCTGAAGTCCACAGAGTTCTTTCATTCAAAGTGAAAGAGCAGTGATTCATTAGCTATTAGTTGTCAGTTGTTAGTACTTACATTATGATTATTTAAAGGGTGAAAATATGTAACTTTTCCTACAGTGTCGCTCGTCTAAATACAAAATAGGAAACTAGAGGATGTTTGTGGTGGCAATTGAAATAACACACATCTCATTTCAGTTAGGGATTTGGAAGGGAAAGAAGGGTTGTGCGTTTTAAGAAATTGTTGGGTTTTTTTTATTCCTAATAAAAGCAAGAAATCCAGAGTTGCAACTAAGCAGTAAATATTTAATGATTCTTAGCCCAGTGTTTTGGTTTCACCTCAACAGAATCCACCTGTTGATTGTTTTTGTTAGGTTAACTTACTGCCATTTTAGAGGGTTTGTTTATAATAATGTTTTCAATTTTTGAAGTGTTTAAGTAAGGAGAATCTACCCCAGAAGGATCTGTCACCAAATTAAGGCAAAACAACTTTGCTGCTTTTCTTTAAAACAGGAACCTCAGCTGATAAAACTCGATCAGCCAGGTCCTTTGACATTAGCCATGTATCAGTTCCTGACAGAAATGCAAGAAATAAAAAGAGGGGTCGTCACTCCTAAGGAACTTTTTGCTCAGGTTTGTAAAAAGTGAGTATCTTTACAATTGCATGTCATAGCAAGTATGAAAAAAGCTTGCTATTTAAAAAGACAGAGAGTTTTGTCCCTTTTTTTCTTGAGCTCGCATCATAGCCTGTAGAATTTGTATAATACGTAGCAAGTTTTGAAAGAAGCAAAATATAAATGAACAGAAGTAAAATGAAAGATTAACAGTGACATATTCTGATTAGCTAAGCTTCATATTTTTAGAAAACACCGTATATAGACATTTGTTGCTTTTATATACATACATGCTTAAGACTCTGTCCTTTTATGTCTGATGTGAATTGTTTTTACTTTGTCCAAGTTCAGTTATACTTTACAACCATCATTTCACTTAACAGAGCAATACGATTTAAAGGTTATCAGCAGCAAGACAGTCATGAGTTGCTTCGTTACTTACTTGATGGAATGAGATCAGAAGAAATGCAAGTGAGTGCTAATTTCATAGTTTTGCAAAACCTGTCTTCTTCATGCTGTAGATCAAGACTTTCCCCTCTGCTGAGAGGAAAGGAACGTTCTTTCTAAGTTGAACTCTGAGAGTGGTTTGTGCTGCTCATAACACACGCTTCAAGCAGATGAGCTACAAAGCTGTAGAACTGGGCAGCTTCTAAGCAGCGTGGTTGTGAAGGAACAACCATGGGTATTACAGGCCACAAACTTCCCTCTTTGAATACTTTTGTTAAATGAAAGTAGTATCTTCTACATATATCGCATGTGCCATTTAGGTTTCTAAGGCAATGATATTTTCTGCCATTTTACAAGGCAGGGAACTGATTATGCTCAAGCCAAGTAGAAAGGTTCAGTTTTGCTTGCTTTAAAGGTCTTTGGTTACTTCAACACTACTAACATAAATGTCTATTGTCCTTCAGAAATAGATGGATTTGTCCAAAATTTCTACAGAAAAGCATGGCGTATGTGTACTCTCCCTAATGTAATGTTCTTTTTTCTTAATTTCTGAAATGCCTGAAAGCTCACTTAATTTGGAAAAGTATTTTACCCTTAGGCTTACTTTCTTGCATCCTAATTGCAACATTAGAGTTGCAAGCTTGTTTCTCAGTTGCTCTTCTTCTCTGGCATTTGTGGTGGTTTATATTGATTCTCTTAATTACTGGTGATTAAATTTTTTTCCTCCATCTGAAACATTTTGTGAAGTTAACTAGTAAACAGAATTAGTTTAGGAAATTTTACAGTATGTGTTTGTTTTGAAAATTTCAGCAAATAAGTGTTGGAATACTGAAGGCACTGACTGACTCTAAAAAACAAAATGAAGAAGAAATGAAAAAGAAAATTAAAGGTAAAATATATGTTTCTGATAATTTAAAACTTTGTTTCATTGAAGTACCCAAAGTAACACTAATAGTATCAACTAAAAAATTTATGTTTAATTGTACAACTTTATGGGATCTCTTGAGTATGTGTGTTTCTAGAGTATAGGGCTCAATAGTGTTAAGTCTATTTAAATGTCTTACCAAACCTTAACAGTCTAAGAGAGAGTTGATTCTATAGACATTATACATTAAAATATGTTTGGGTAGTGTTTAATTATTCAAATATTATCACATGAATGTAATTATTCCTTTAATAATATTAATCTAATAATCCATTGGTACTTAACAGTGGTATAAAAGGGAAACAAACACTGAACAGAAGAATTTTTAAACTTTTCAACATCACTTAGGTTAGAAGTCAAAGAGCAAGTTTAAGTTTAAATTGTGTGCTACACTGAAAATACAGCTTGAGGAAATTGCTTTTGGTTTAGGGCACTTATACAGACCAAAGTTGGTGCTTGGTTTTTAGGTTCAGGCAGCTTTTTGAGTTAAGTCCTGTGAGAAAATGGGAACTCTTACTGGGATGCAGTACTTCTGAGAAAATGAGGAAATGTGTTTGGGTTGAGAAAGTGGTAAAGGTGTTGGTTCAGTCAAGCTGTCTTCTGCAAATCTGTTTTTGCTTCCATTTCTTTGGTATATGAAAGAATCTTAAGAATCTTGCTGTAGTTCTGAAGGAAACTAGAACAAACCAACGCATTCCACCATACATCTTGTATATGTATTCACTTCTTCTTAAAGGTGGTATGCCATAACTAAATTGGTTGTCAGTATATTCAGTGTAATATTACAAACTTTACTATATACTTTGTCAATTCTCAGATTATGAAAAGAAAAAGGGAATACAGAGTTTTGTGGATCGGATTTTTGGTGGAGAATTAACCAGTACAATTATGTGTGAGGAATGCAGAACCGTAAGTAAATTGCCTGCTTTTAATAGCCTAGAGTATGATTTTATGTAATCTATGTAATTTATGTAATGTAGGAGAACACCAAAATAGCTATATGTAGATATAAGTGAAACTAGTGAAGTGTTTTTTGGTGTTTTTTTTTTTTTTTCATTTTATTCACTTCTAGGAGTCAGCTAGCTACATGCATTTCAAAGAGGAGCATGGTTTGGCTGGAATCTTTCTTCCCTTATGTTATAAAGCTATATTTTATACATGGATAGCTGTTTGTCAAGGTAGATTAGCTGTGTTACGTTTGTGTGCACTTGTGAAAACATGACTTAAATGCAAACAAGGCTACGTACAGCCTTGACAGCAAGCCAGCTGCTTCCAAACAAAATTAAACTGGACTTTTGAATATTCATTTAAAGGTATCCTTGGTCCATGAGTCTTTTCTTGATTTGTCACTTCCTGTACTAGATGATCAGGTAAGAAATTGTACGTGCTTGCCTTTTGCATTAGTTTTTATTCTCTTGCATGAAAACACCTTTATTATATAATCAGTAGGGAATGAATCTATGCATATTTCTAAATGTCTCTTCTGAAACTTAAAATAAGTTTGCCCAGAAGGCTAGAAAATAAGATTTTTTTATTTTTATGAGAGTCATTCCTGTAGGTCGTGGCTCATAAATGGTCTCTAGAAAATCTAATAGTCTGTTGGTAATCTTGCTGCTTTGTCAATTAACGTTTCTAATGTAGAGATCAGCTTAGGTGGTAATCTGGAATGTACCAACATTGCCTCACTATTGTAGAAGGCTGTTTCAAAAAACAAGGCTTCCCAACTCATCTTCACTGTTGTAAAACTAAACGGTGAAGAGCAGCCGGACGGCCAGGTACAAGTCCACCGCCACGTCCGTCCCACCCTGCTGCTGGAGCCCACCCATATTACAAGTCATTGCCATAAAATACAGTGAGACAAGAGCCTTAGCCCAAGCCCCACACTTGATAAACACTAACACAGCAAATACCGGCTCTAAGTAATGTACTGCATTCTGAAACTGTGAGATCAAGAGGAACAACTCTGAGAGCCAATAAATCAGCATTGTGACGAGTGACTATTAATCCGGACAGATCTGTTGTTATCTCAACCCCTTGTGCCCCACGTTGGGCCCAAAATGAACTGTCATGGTTTAAACCAAACCAGACAACTCGTTCACTCGCTTCCCCCCCCCCCCCCTTCTTGCCCTCCCCCTACTCCCAGAGGGACGGACAGGAGAGTCAAAAAGAATTCAACTCCCATGGGTTGAGATAAGAACAGTTTAGTAACTAAGGTATAACACAAATCACTGCTGCTACCACCAATGATAATAATGATAAAGGAAATAACAAGGGAAGAGAATACAACACCTCACCACCAGCCGACCAATAACTCGCCCCCACCCAGCCCGACCAAGCACCGACCCATACCTCTTTCAGCCCCACAGTCTCCCAGCTCCAGCTAACTCCCAGTTACATCCTGGGCATGACGTGCTGTGGAATACCTCTTTCGTCATTTTGGGTCAGGTGTCCTGTCTCTGCTTCCTCCTGGCTTCCCCTCCTCCCTGGCAGAGCATGAGGCTCACAAAGTCCTTGGCCAGACCAAAACATCCTTGTTATCAGCTCTGTTCCCGAGCCGAAAGTCAAAACACTGCACTGCACCAGCTACCAAGAAGGAGAAAAATGACTGCTACTGCTGAACCCAGGATATATGTCTTCTGCAACAAACAAATTTTATCATAGCAGAAGCAGACAAATTCTGTGGCAGGCAGTTCAACTACAAATGTCTCTCTATTTGTGTAAAATGTTACTCCTCAGTGCATTTAATGAGACATCTGTTAGAGCCAAAGGTAATGTTGCCCCTTTACAGGTTCAGAATTTGGCCCTTGGTTTTTCATACTGTTTCATTCTGGAATTCATTGTTTCACGTGGGCTCCCTCTGGAGTGAGACACTTCTTTTGTAAATATTAGGGTAGCATAAATGAGTTACTTGTATGTTATAGTCTCTAAAATGCTTTCTCTTGAGCTGAAAACTCACATAACATCGCATTCATAGTTTTCTTTTGAATACTATTTTGTTATTCGGGACAGTAACATCTCTACTTCTGTGGTGGTTTTGTGGCTTTTTGCATATTTTTTTTCATAGAAAGTAAAAAATACAAATGAGAGAAACATTAAGAAAAACAAAGAAAAGGAATCTGAAGATGAAGAGAACAAAAATGATGACTGTTACCTTAAGCAGAAAGATGAGCCCCCTGGTACAAGTAAGCACCTTCAGAAAAAAGTAAAGAAACAGGCCAAAAAACAAGCCAAGGTTGGTTTTGATCAGTGTTTCACTTTTATTAATGAAGTGCTTGCAACTTTCAGTAAAACAAATTTTTTTTGGTTCTTCAGATTAGGTAGAGACCGCTTAGAATTTCTACTCTGTAAAATGCACAACTGATAAGACTGATTTTATCTACATCATTGCTATTAAGAAGTTACGTATTCTGTTAAGAGTTGCTGTGCTATATATAAGCTAATATCCAGAGGAATGTGGAATTTTGATGCTTGTATGAAGTAATTAATTTGTTTCAGACAGCTGTTCTCTAGTCGTTGATTGCAAGAATACTCACAAAACTATATCCTTTCTTATGTCTGTGTTCTAAAGAGAATCCTGAATGTATTTTGAAGATACTGTGTAACAAGAAGCATTGGGAACTATAGCATAGAATCACAGAATGGTTTGGGTTGGAAGGGACCTTAAAGCCTATCTAGTTCCAACCCCCCTGCCACAGGCAGGGACACCTTCCACTAGACCAGGTTGCTCAAAGCCGCGTCCAACCCGGTCTTGAACACTGCCAGGGATGAAGCAGACACAGCTTCTCTGGGCAGCCTGTGACAGTGCCTCACCACCCTCACAGTGAAGAATTTCTTTCTAAATCCAATCTAAATCTCCCTCTTTCAGTTTAAAGCCATTCCCCCTTGTCTTGTCACTACAGTCCCTTGTAAAATAGTCCCTCTCCAGCTTTCTTGTAAGCCCTGTTTATGTACTTAAAGGCTGTTATAAGGTCTTCCTAGAGCCTTCTCATCTCCAGGCTGAACAAGCTCTCTCAGCCTGTCTCAGTGGGACTAAATTCAGTATATTAGTCACCTCTGGTTATTAAATCATACTTTCCCACCCTATGCATCTATGGCATGCTACAAAAATTTTGATAAATAGTAATAAATGCTAAATATATTTTAAACTTGCTCTGGTTTTTGTGTTCTTCTATGTTACGTATTCCAATTTGCAGAGCCAGCGCCGTCAACAAAAACTTCAAGGAAAGGTGCTTCACTTGACAGATATCTGTGCAACTGAACAGCCAGAAAAAGATGTTGAATACAACCAAGAATCAGAGGCAGAAATTGGCTCTGAAATGCCTGATACGAAGCAAGAAGACAAGTCATCAAATGATTGCAAAGATCGCTGCTTAACTCAAAAAGACTTGAGTATTCAGGGAAATAGTATAGAAGTTCAGAGCATGCATGAAAATACAGGAAAGCCAGAACAGGAGTGTGAAGAAAAGGAATCTCTCAGGGATCTCCCTATGGAAGGCTTAGATTGTCCTGGAGAGTTAGTCAATGGACTTGACAATATATCTTTGAAAGATGAAGATGATGAAAATAATGAGGAAGAGCTTGCTTCTGACTTTTCAAAACTACATTTGGGTGCCAATACTGAATCTGATATGAGTACCTTAGATGACCTACAGTCTGTTCCCATCAAGACATGTGAAGTATTGACTGAAGATCCAGAAACAGCATTTTGTACTCTTGCAAATAGGGAAGATCTGAACCCGGAAGAAGGTTCAATCCATCACTGTTTGTATCAGTTTACCCGTAATGAAAAACTTACTGAGACCAATAAACTACTGTGTGATGTATGTACACAAAGACATGGACCAAAGAAGAACATGAAAAGTATGACAAATTATCTTTAAGAAAACAAATATTCTAAATATGTCCCTATCTGCTGCTTGGGTGGGTGAGGGAGTGGAGAGCAATATCCCTAAAGTGGCATTGGTGTAACTTTAACTTGGATACGTGGAACTAGTATTCAGTGGGTAGGTTGTAAGAACCTTTTTTCATACAGATTAATACAAGTAAGTTCTTAACTGAGCAGAATAACAGGCTCACAAGCTCAGGTACAGAATACTGCAGGACTGAAAAAGAGGAGTGGGTTTGGATTTGGTTGGAGGAAAAGGGCACTGCAGTCTAAACATAAATTTTGTGAGTAAATGTAGGGAGTAGAGATTTAGCAGGTGACTTTTTTTCCTGTTTACTCCTTAAATACCAAAATTCTGCTGAGACAGTAATAGGGAAATCCTGTTGGTGTTTGCACAAAAGGACGGTAAAAGCTGCATGCAATTTCTGATGATGAGACTTGTGGAGAAGGGGGAGAATTCATCCTGCTTGTGCAGACATTGCTTAGTAACATGAGGGGTTACTTTTCTTATATGGAATCTGCAAGATGGCAGCTGTTGTACAGTTAATCAGGTTAAGGGGGAATATTCCATTTCTCAGTTGTAATAGATTACATTAGAGCAGCCTAAGTAGTGAAAATAAATTCTTGGTGTAACGTTTGTTTAGACATTAATCATTGGTGGTTTTTCTTTTCTGCAGGTGAAAAATACATTTATACTAATGCCAAAAAGCAGATGCTAATCTCTCTTGCTCCTCCAGTTTTAACTCTTCACTTAAAAAGGTTTCAACAGGTAAGTAGCAGGCTGATAACTGCAAAAATGCATATGTACAGAGTATCAGTTTAATATGTATATAGGCACATAATACTAGCTTAACTTAAATCTAATGTTAGCATATTTTCATGAGAGACTGTTTTGGTTTAGGGTTTTTTTTCCAGTGTTCAGAAGGCATTGGTGTGCAGCATTGTTTTTTTGTGGCCTTTGAGGAGCTGGGGTGTATCTTCCTGAAAGAATATTCCATTAGTTACCTGGAAAACACTGTTTTATGAGCTTATTTGTAAGACATTCCCTCACTGTTGTTACTGTTTACTGGATTAAGCAGCATCTTGGTATTAATTGTTTCCTGCTACTACAGCAGTTCAGTACAGATAGAGTAAGATCCCTTACTAAGTGAGTGTAACAAATAGGTCCATAAAATTGGAAAAGATTCTGAGCCTTACGAGGTGATGGTGGTGAAGCATGGAGAATGGAGAGCAATGCAACTTGAGTCTTATTTATAGACACTGAAGTAAAGTGGTTTATGTTTTTTTCCAAGTTGTAGGAAAACTTTTAGGGCTTTAGGTTTTCAAGAAAGAAAAGAGGAATGGGATGGGGATGTGAGACAGTATTGCCTCTTCCGAATTTAAAGCTGTTCAGTGCTTTGGTCAAAAAGCTTGAAAAATAAGGGAGGTAACTTTAAGTAGATGAAAAACAATTTCACAGAGAAAATGGAAATATGTAGCTTATTCCAAGAGACTGTAACATAATTAAGAAAATAACATTTCTCATCTCCTTTTGTTTTTCTAGTTTGATACTGGAAGATTATTTACATAGGGCAGGAGTAGAATTTACATCAGTTCTGACAATATAAAATTAGATCCTCAAGCATATCACAGTATCTGAGAAGCAAGAGATGTCCTCATAGTTACATAAGTGTATTAGAGCCGATTCTTTCTCTACTTTTGCTACCTTTAAGTTACCATAAGAGTGAGTTGAAGAGCCATGTTAACTTGTGTTCCAGCGCAGCATGTGGGGGCCAGGAGGTACTGCTGGTAAACCTTGGGCATTGGAGGGAAAAAGAAGTGTTACTTTTTCACCAGTTTTGTGTAATGTAAACCTGATTTTTTTTATTGTTGAAACTTCAACCCAAAACATTTAGTAACTAAGCGTGGTTTTAACACTTACATTTTAACTTTATGGGATTTTACTTTGTTTAAGGCTGGATTTAATCTCCGGAAGGTTAACAGGCATATCAAGTTTCCAGAAGTGATAGACTTGGCTCCTTTCTGTACAGCTAAATGTAAAGTAAGTGGGAAAACAATCAGATTCTCCTTTCCCATGTTCTAACAAGCTTTCATGATTAAGCTGTTTAGCAGGATCTTTGTAGAATGCTTGTCAAGCTTCAGTTATTTTGTGTGATAATACAGGGTAACTTACAAGTGCAGCTTATACTTGAGTCAGAGTATGTCCATTGACCATAGCTGTAGTGCTTGCATGAATCTGCAATGACCAGCTTCACTTTCATTAGCAAGCAGATCAGAGCAAAGTGAAGTGTTTGCGTTCTAGCCTTGCTTAAAACCCAGTACCTGACTGGCATGTCTAAACTTCTGCTTTTATAGAATGTGGCTGAAGGGAATACAAAAGTATTGTACTCTCTCTATGGAGTTGTTGAGCACAGTGGAACAATGAGGTCTGGGCACTATACTGCATATGCTAAAATGCGAAGTATGAACAACCATCTCTCTGATCTTGTCCTTCGAGGGCAATCTCCTCAAGGTAAATAATTTGAAATATTTTACAAATTCTTACCGCACAACAGTACAGGATTGATTGCTTCAATTCTTCATAAATTTTACTCCTAAATTCTTCCTTTCACAGCTTTAGAAACTGAACCAGTAAAAGGGCAGTGGTTCCACATCAGTGACACCCACGTACAAGCTGTGTCTGTGTCAAAAGTGCTGAGCTCTCAAGCCTATCTTCTCTTTTATGAGCGACTCCTTTAACTCATCTGAGAAACCTTCTTATAGGTGTTGAGAGGTGGTTATCTTCAGGTGGTCTGAAAGAAGCAAGACTTGCAAATCATGGTCTTAACATGTTGTAGCTACTGTATACAACTGAAGGAATATACTTTATGCTTCGTAGACATGCTGACAAGTGGTTAACTTATACTTTTCCCAGTGTTTTCACTGCTTTTAAATAAAGGCCTTTTACAAAATTACAATGTTAAGTTTGTGTTGAGTGCATTGGCACAAACAAGGAACCACTACTTTTAGTTTCCTGCACGTGCTACACATTTCAGTCAACTTACACTTCAAACTAGTTCTCTTGGCTATCATCTAAGTGTATTTTAGAACTGGGATCCAAGTAGAAGCTGTTTCTTTCTACACATCTTACAGCTGAGACCAATTCAGCATCACCTCCTTTTCCACTGTTGGTTTATGCCCAATAGTGTCATTCCTGGTGTGCAAACTCTCTGGGAATTCTTCTACATGGGAATGTTGCCGGTATTTTGGCAAGGCTGAGAGCTTGGGTCTCTCTCCCTTTTGCTACAGGCATTCCTTCTGCACTGGGGAGGGGTAAGAAAACTAGTCCTGCAGTGACTTGTAACTATAAAGTTCTCTTCTCCACAGGCTAGGCTTCACATTGGGTTTCACATAAATAAAATCTTGGCTTGTCCATGCTAGAGCAGCAGCTGCTTACATTCAGTGCATTTTTCACAACCTCACTAACAAAATGGGCAGTCTTAACGTGTTCTTGTTACCCTTACAGTCAGCAGCAGCAGCACTTGTGCAGCTGACTTTTATCAGTATGCCAATCCTGAAAACTTGCTGAGTTTATTTTTTGGCCACACCAGCAATGGACTATAAAGCAAGCATTAGTGTAGCTGCTGTGTGGCAGCCTTATTTAGGCATAAGATAGTTGTAGACTTGATTTAGCCTTCCACTCCCTTCTGGCTGTGAAACAGTAGCACTGGCAAGAGTAATAAAAGCATTAATTATTGAAGTGACTTGAATTTCAAGTGCAGTTCTCCTTTCAAGTTACTCCAAGACACACAAGCTGTTTACTTTCCAAGAAGAATCTTAACAGAGGACTTTGCTTGAAAGATTCTGCTATTCTGCATCATGCTAGCTAGTGCTGCCCAGCCTTTATTTTTAAGGCCATTAGAATGAGATGCAGTTCACGGCAGTCACGCTGCCATTTTGAGAGCATGGAGACTCTGTAAAGGGTGACAATGAAGCTGATATATGAAACAAAAATAAACTAACCCTTTGCCATACTTGGTTCTTTCTTACAATATTTGACTTTTTACACTCAAATATTGGGCAAGGAGTACAGTGAAGAGCTACAACAATTAGATTATGCTTTCCAGAAGTTCCTGCAGCAGGCTCAGTCTCCCCTCATCCACTATACTGGGTGCAGCTGTGGCCTCTGAGGAGAGGCTGGGCATGGCTGCTGCTAAACACAGCCACTTCTAATAGACCCACACCAGGGCACAGCTGAGCCCTTCAGCCAAGGGGATGGCACCTTGGAGAAAGCAAAACGGTGTCAGGGCTTGAAGGGGAAAGTGCGAGAAGCAGCCCTGCAAGCACCGGAGAGGAGCAGCTCCAGGCACCCCTCACAGCCCCTGGAGAGACCATGCTGAAGCAAGTTGTCCACCTGCAGCTCACAGAGGACCATACTGGCCTCCACACTGCAGCCAAGGAGGCTCCCAGGACAGAGTCAGAGGAATGTGTGCCTTGAAGAAAGCTGCAGTCTGCAATGAGGAACCCACACTGGGGCAAGTGCTGCTGCAGAAGCCAGTTGCTCCTGGTCAACTACAACCTACGGCGGACCCCCATGCTGAAGCAGCTCAACAAGGACTATACCATGGTAGGGGAGGAGGGGAAAAGTGTGCATAGGAAGGAGCAGTGAAGAGGTGCTGTTACAGCCTGACCACAACCCCCCTTCCCTATCCCCTTTCAGCGCTCAAGTGCAGGGAAGAGGTAGAGGAGTTGGAATAAAGAATACATCTTAGCCTGGGAAGAAGGGGAGGTGGACAGGAACATAGTTTGGATTTAATTCCTTCTCACCCTCCCGTTCCTCTTTAATTGTTAATAATTTTCTGCACATGCCTGTTGCAGTAATTAGTAAGGGATCTCCCGGTCTCCACCTCAGCCCATGAGCTTTTTCACCTTACTTTCTGCCCCTATCCTGGTGAGGAAGGTCAACCCATACACAAATGCCTGGGAACAACCACATCATGCTAAGTCCAAATAATGTGACAATGTTTTAACAGCAAGTATATTTATTGGTGTGCCTGAAGTTCTGCACTCCGTAAGACACAATTCATAACTTAAAGGCAACAGAGCAAAACATCATGACAGGCTCTGGCTGGAATATCAAAAAACTCATCATGTCACTTAAGAAGTATATTTAAATCGTTTAAGCATTTTGGTCTTCATCCCAATCCTTCTTTCCTGATGGAGGTTTTGGGCCACCACTGGGTTTTGCCATAATGATCTTAAAAGATAACAGGGAACAGAAAAAGGTAAAGGTTAGAATCAGACTCTTACAGCCCTATGATTCTGTCAACATTCACTAAAATTAATGCAACTTCCCTAGTCTGAACCTAAGCCTCAATCTTATTTTTATCCATCAAATTGAGATACTCGCACATTAGTTTGGGTTGGGTTTTTTTTTTGTAAATAGCAGAAGCTGAGCCCTGATACACAAGAAAAGGGCTTTTACCTCATTTTTGCATGCAAATTATGGTTAGTCTACAGAAAGCGAGTGCAAAAATAGGAGTGATGGTTTTCCAGAATGCACACCACAGAAAGCAGAATTATCAGAATTATTAGTCTGAATTATAGTCTAAACTTTATTAACACTTTAAATGCCTAAAGTCCACCCGTCCTGCCATGTGAAAGACTCTTTTTCTGTACTTTTGATAGCAACAAGCAAAGCTAAAACTGCACGTCATCACTTAATCAAAGCTTGGGTTTAGAATTCCTTTGCAAAGGCATAAATACAAAATGTAGCAATCAGCACACCTAAGACAGCAGTGTCACATGTCCTCAAGAAAGTTATCATCTGCCATGTGCTTGTCAACATATACTCATGCATGTGCCCACACACACAGATACCTCTCTGCTAGAGACAGCTTACTGCACACTATTTTTCAGGCTCGTCTTTCCAGTCATCCTTATCCCAATGTCCTTGTTGCTTAGGGACTTTTGGACCACCTGCTGGTTTTGCCATAATAATCTACAGAAATTTTAGATGCAAATACCTTTTTGCTAAAGTTGCACAAAATATAGAAACTTAACGTTTTTATCATTAAGATTATAACATCTCTTTTCCCTAAAAGTTGGATTTTCCTGTGAAAACAATATATGACAGAAGGTTTCTTCTGTTAAAAATCTTGCTTCTACAAAAGTTAGGACAGCTTTCTGGACTACGAGTATCAAAATGTCAAATCTTAAAAAAAAAACCAAAACATTAAAAGTGATCTTATGGAAGTGGCAACATTACAACATTCCAAATTATGAGCTCTTTAGAGAACAACTTCCAGGCTTTCAGCAATAAACAAACCACATTTTCAAGTATTCTATTTTTCTATCTTGCATTCCAAGAAGATTCACATGTTCTGCACATTTAATTCAAGATTTCAATTCAGTGCCCAAATTACTTGTGATCTTACCTGATCTACTCTTAGGACAGTTACTGCTGCATTCGTAGCCAGCTTGATACCCCAGAATTTTCCAAGGTATGTGTCTAGTACACCAGCTTCCAACATATCCTTCACAGCAGCAGCTTCAGCCTATCAGACAGGGTGAAAACATTGTTCAGAACCTCCTCAGGCTTCTACATAGCAAGTTACTGGGTTTTCAACATTACAGGTTTAAAACAAGTTATCACTTTTCTAATCTCTCTTCAGAAAACCTTTGTTCCTAATCCATTAGCAGGAAGACTAAGTAATTACTAAAGACTTATTCTCTATCACATCAGTTCAGTATCTCACTTTACCTTCAACAGAAGGCTACTATACTACACTGAATTTAACTGCTTGCTGGCTGATTATTACAACTCTAAGAAGTTATTCTTCTAGACCATACAACACAAATTCAGTGATTTAAAGTACTTCTATCAGTATGAATTATGTATATATTAAATATAACCCTGTATGGCAAAGCACCAAGTAATGCAAAAGACTATTTACCTCAATATCAAATCCAACATTTTTGTTCCCTTCCTGATGCATAGCATAAAGTTTGGAGATGACCTCATTAGCCTTTACTCCAGAGTTTTCTGCCAGTGCTCGAGGAATGGCTTCAAACGCCTCAGCAAACTTCTTGATGGCATACTGGTCAAGCCCAGGACAAGTCTGAAGTGAAGTCGAAAACCATGTCAGCATTTAAAAAATTTAGGTATAAAATAATATGTATATATTTGTATAAGTCACATATATATTTAAATAAGTATATATGTGTGTCTAAGTTGTATAAAAAAAGAAATAAAGTGCCCATTTGCTGTACCTCTCCATAGGATGTGATCTGCTTGGCTAACTCAATCTCTGTTGCACCACCTCCAGGAACAAGCCGTTTATCCTGTGAACATACCATCCCAAAACACAAAGTTTTGGTTAAAGTGTGGCATTGATTTTCACTTTTAAAATTTATATATTCTATGAAGAATGCAACAGAACTTTATCCCACGCAGACTTATTAAGAATATGCTTTGGAACAGACATGAATTATAACAGAATTTACCAGAATTAACTCATTCGTTCCAATGTCTTTGACAAGAATAGCTTCTCATGTAAAAGCAAAATAATAATGTAGTGGGATCTGTTTGGTTGGTTGGCTGTGGGGTTTGGTGTTTTTTTGGGTTTGATTTTGAGTTTTTGGGTGGAGGGTTGGTTTGGGGTTTTTATAAAGTAATTTAAACTCTTGCCTAACTAATAAAAGAATTCCTAGACTTTCTCACCCTTTCCATTAACTTTCCCAACATTCCATTGTTGGGAAATACCATGCAGGAAACCAATCTACCTTACACTATGTTTAAGGTATCACAAAGTGCTTGGAGTTTTTGTTTTCTTTTAAATTAAGCATTTTGTTTATCGTTTAGCAAACACCAGGATTCACTGAAGAACTCCCAGTCTTTCTAACAGAAAAGTAATCATCATAAATCATAAGTCAGGCCAACTCCTGGAGACAAAAATAAATACAGAGACTATGGCTG